CCCTACTGGGAATATACCCTGAAGAACTCAAATCACTCTATAAAAAAGGTACCTGCACACGCATGTTTATCGCAGCACCGTTCACAATAGCAAGAACCTGGAAGCAACCATGCTGCCCATCAAACGAGGACTGGATTTTTTAAATGTGGTACATATACATGATGGAATACTACACAGTCATAAAAAAGAACAAAATCATGAATTTTGCAGCAACCTGGATGGAACTAGAGTCTATAATACTGAGTGACCTCTCACAGAAACAAAGATCTGAGTATCACATGTTCTCACTCATATAGTGGACCTTGAACATCCAACATAATACTATAAGAAAACGACTGAAAGTGGTGGGAAACTATGGGGGAGGAGGGGAAGGGAGACATCCGAGCAGCCAACAGACACATGAAAAAATGTTCAACCTCACTAATCATCAGGGAGATGCAAATCAAAACCACACTGAGATACCACCTAACTCCAGTCAGAATGGCAATTATCAATAACTCAAAAAATAACAGTTGCTGGAGAGGGTGTAGAGAAAAGGGAACACTTCTACACTGTTGGTGGGAGTGCAAACTAGTACAACCTCTATGGAAAACAGTATGGTGAGTCCTAAAAGCTCTAAATATTGACCTCCCATATGACCCCGCAATGATAGTAAATATCTGTATGGGTATGGGGAGTCACCTCTTATCAACAATGGTGCCTGAATGAAGCATATTTGTATACCTAACCCTTAACTGTAACCCACAATATCATAATAAAAAATATTGATTAATAAAAAATAAATAAATAAATACCACATATACTTACTCAAAAAAAAAAAAAGAATAGCCAAGATGTCGTTGAAATAGAATTAGGTCGGGACATTTATTACGAGATGTAGTTATTAAAGCGACTTGGTATTGGCAAGTGACAGGAAAATAAGCCAAGCTTACAAGTATAGCTTGAAACATTTGAAAATAATACACATTATGACATTTCACTCTCAAATATTTCAGTGTTAATTTTCTAAAAAGAAGAGTCTTCTTCTTTATAGCTATAATGTCATTATCACAGCTAAGAAAATTAATAGCAGTTTTTTTCACCCATGCTAACTCTGGCATGTCTCCATTTCTTTTCTCCCTTCTTTTTCTAATAAACTTCATTTGAAAACTTCAACAAAAAAAAAGAAAGAAAGAAAAGTAAAATTTCCTGCAAGCATTCAGTCCATATCTAAATTTCAAGTAGCCAAAAATGTCTTTAGAAATTTGCAATTTTGTATCAGGATCCTATTAAGGTGCACATGATGTCATATTCGATTGTTCTGTCTCTCCCTACTCTTGCATTCTGAAATCATCTTCTCACCATTTTTTTTTTGAGTCAGAGTCTCACTCTGTCACCCAGACTAGAGTGCAGTGGCACACTCACAGCCACCCTAGCATCAACCTGCTGGGCTCTGGCGATCCTTCCGCCTCAGCCTTCCCAATAACCAGAACTACAGGTGAGTGCCACCACACCCAGCTAATTTTTGATTTATTGTAGAGATGAGGTCTCACCAAGATGGAGCTGGGTAGGATACATTGCCGTAGCAACCTCTCCCTCCCCTTATAAACTCTTCTAGGCCTGCTCTGCACAATGGTGTTATCCCAGTGGAGCAGCTAAGAGTGCACAGAAGGCTCAAAACAATCACACAAAAAAAACCTTGGAAAATTCCCAGAACCTCACCCTTGGTCTAGGCTGACTGAGCACTTCCTTGGAGAAACATATGCCAAGGAGAAACCCCACAGCCATCATCACAGCTGGCTTTCTCCCATAAGCACTAGCTCCTGAACAGAGGTCAACTGTAGAGTCAACCACATCAGATATAATATTTGGGGAAGGCCTGATCCCAGACCCCAGCTAACACCACTTTCCAAGCCATTCCAGTCATTCAGCATGCCATGAGCCAGTGCAGGTGCACAGCACAAGACTACCACAGCTGGCAATTGAAAATCTCACCACACCAAGGCTATATGTAACCAAAGGAGCTCTACAGTACCTACGTTCACTTCCTGCCAACCTCAAATAAGAAGAAATAGTCAAACCCAAATGAGAAGGAATCAGAAAAATAATTCTGACAATATGAAAAATCAGGGTTCTCCAACACCCTCAAAGACCACACCAACTCTTCAGCAATGAGCCCTAACAAAAAATGAAATTGTTGAATTTCCAGACATCATATTCAAAATGTTGGTTATAAAATTGATCAATGAACTTCAGGAGAGAATTAAAAACCAACATAAAGAAAATTAAAAAGCAATTCAAGACATGAATGAAAAATTTTCCAAGGAAATAGACACCTCAAAAAAAGTTATAATATTGAGTAATCTATCAAAGCAAAAAAGAACTGAGTATCACATGCTTTCACTCACAAGCAGACCTTGAATAATTATCAAAATACTATAAGAAAAGGATTGGCAGTAGTGAGAAACTGCTGGCAGGAGGGCAGGGGAGCAGGATTGGCAGTAGTGGGAAACTGTCAGGGGAGGGAAGTATAGCTTATCAATAAGAGTACCTGCATAATGAACATTTGTATACCTAACCCTGAATTCTAACCCACATCTTTAAAAAAAAAAAAATTGAAATTCTAGAAATGAAAGAATCATTCAGAGAAGTACAAGATGCAGTGCAAAGTTTTAGCAGTGGACTAGAATAAGTAGAAGAAAAATCTCAGAACTTGATGACAAGGCTTTTGGAATTAACCCAAACAGACAATAATAAAGAAAAAAGAATAAAGAAAATGGAATAAAGTCTCCAAGAAATGTGGGATTATATAAAACATCCAAACCAAATAATCATGGGTGTTCCTTAGAAGAAGAGGAATCAATAGAAAAATCTATTTGAGAGATTAACTGCCAGAGATCTAAACATACAGATACAGAAACCCAAAGAATCCCCAGAAGATTCATTGCAAAAAGGTCACCCCCAAGGCATATAATCATCTGGTTATGCAAAGTAAATATGAAGGAAAGAATTGTAAGAGCAGAGAGATAAAGCATCAAATAACTTACAAAGGTAAATCAATCAGATTAACATCAGATTTCTCAGAAGAAACCCAATAAGCCAGCAATGATTAGGATGCCATCTTTAATTTCCTCAGACAGAATAATCTTTAATTTCCTCAGACAGAATAACAGTCACCCATGAATTTTGTACTTCACAAAACTAAGTTTCATAAATGAAGGGGTAATGAAATCTTTGCAGGCAAGTTAACACTGAGGGAAACTGTCACCCCTAGACCAGCTCTACAAGAAATACTCAACAGAGTTCTAAACACTGAAACAAAAGACCAAAACGCAGCAGTAGAAAAACACTGGAAATCATAAAGTTCACAGGCCTTATGGAACACCAACACAATAGAGAAAATAAAAAATAAAGCAGCCAGACTAAAACCAGTATGATGAATGGAATAGTACTTTACATATCATTATTAACTCAATATAAATGGTCTCAGTGCCCTACTAAAAAGATACAAACTGGAAGAATGGATAAAAATACATAACTCAAATATCTGTTTCCTTCAAGAGACCCACTTAACTCCTATAGACTCAAGGTAAAGGAGTAGGAAAAAATATTCCACATAAATGGAAACCAAAAATGAGCAGGAGTATCCATTCTCAAATCAAATAAAATAGACTTAAAAAAATACAAAGATAGTTATTATATAATGATCAGATAGTTACATAAGATAGTTATTATAAAAAGATCAATCCAACAAAAAGACATAGCAATTTAAAATATATATGTGCCTAATACCAGAACCCCCAGCTTTATAAAACAAATTCTACTAGATCTAAAAAAAGAAATAGACAGCAGTACAATAATAACAGGAGATTTCAACAGTCCACTGACAGCAAAAAAGAATTATCAAGACAAAAATCAACAAGGAAACATTAGAATTAAATTGGACTCTAGAGGAAATGGAACTGACAGACACCTACAAAGCATTCCATCCCAAACTACAGAAAAAGATTTTTCTCATTAGTACGTGGACCATTCTCCAAGATAGACCATATGATAGACCACAAATCAAGTCACAATAAGTTAAAAAAAAATCATATCAAGCAACATCTCAGACCACAGTGGAATAAAACTAGAAATTAACTCCAAGAAGAACTCATGAAACCAAACAAAAACATGATAGTTAAACAATCTGCTCCTGAATGACCCTTGGGTCAACAATGAAATCAAGATGAAAATTTTAAAAATTCTTGAAATGGATGACAGCAATGAAACAAATTAACAAAACCTCTGGAACACAGCCAAAGCCATGCTCAGAGGAAAATTTATGGAGCTTGAGGCCTGCGTTAATATGATTAAAATATCACATATCAACAACCTAACATCACACCTCAAGAAACTAGAAAGATACAAACCAATCCCAAAGCTAGCAGAAGAAAAGAAATAATGAAGACCAGAGCAGAATTAAATGAAATTAGAATTTAAAAAACACAAAGTATCAGTGAAACAAAAAACTGGTTCTTTGAAAAGATCATCAAAATTGTTAGACTGTTAGCAAGATTAGGAAACGAAGAGAGGAGACTCAGATTCGCTACATCAGAAATGAAACAGGAGACATGACAACTGACCAACTGGGTTCTACCTCAGGGATGCAAGGTTGGTTCAACATATACAAGTTAATAAATGTGAACTACTACATAAACAGAATTAAAAACAAAAACCATACGATCATTTCAATAGATGCAGAAAAAACATTTGATAAAATTCCACATCCCTTCATGAAAAAAACATCAGAAAAATAGGCATAGGGTTGTGCACTCCAGCCCACCCAGCACCACCAAGGCACTGGCCAGATGCACGCCCTGGCCAGGGAGGAGGGCACTGTGCAGGCGCCACATGCGACTTTGCCGGCACCCCCTCTTCTGCCTTGCGGACTTCCGGCTGCCACAGCAGCCATGTTGCTGCGTGGAAAACCCTGGTGCGGTGGGAGCCAGGCCCCGCTGGGCACCGACCACGTGGCTGCCATGCCATCACCGCTGCTGCAGGTGTCAGTAGTGTGCCCCAGCAACCAGAACCAGAGCATGGAGGTGCACAAAATCCTCAGCAAACAGGGATTCAGCCTCCGGTCCTTTGGAACGGGACTCATGTGAAGCTTCCAGGATCAGCACCTGACAAGCCCAATGTTTATGGTTTCAAAGCCACATATGACCAGATGTACAATGATCTTCTTAGGAAAGACAAAGAACTCTACACACACAGAATGGCATTTTACACATGCTGGACAGAAACAAGAGGATCAAGCCTCCGCCAGAGCGATTCCAGAACTGCAAAGACCTGTTTGACCTGATCTTCACTTGCCAGGAGGGAGTCTACGACCAGGTGGTGGAAGATCTGAATTCCAGAGAGCAGGAGACGTGCCAGCCAGTACACGTGGTTTATGTCAACATCCAGGACAACCACCAGGAGGCCACCCTGGGTGCATTCCTCATCTGTGAGCTCTACCAGTGTATCCAGCACACCAAGGATATGGAGAACGAGATTGAGAAGCTGCTGCAGGAGTTCGAGGAGAAGAGTGGCCGCACCTTCCTGCACATGGTCTGCTTCTACTGATGCACCTGCCAGCGTCCTTGCAGACTCATTACCTCTAAGGCTGCCTCTCTCTCAGGCTCTGCCACAGTGTCACTCATGAACTCAACCTGTGGAGTGGAGGACACAGACGTGCGGGATCCACCCGCCAAGGGCTTCTGTCCTGCCTGCACCGAGGAGTGGCTGTCGACCATAGAGTTGTTTCTTGCTCACAGAAAAGCTCAGGCCTCCCGGGCAGCTCCCCACATGCCTGTGTCTGTACTCACCCCCAGGTTGGACTGTACCCACTGAATAAAGCACGCTGCCCCTCCCAACAGGAGAAAAAAAAATTTTTTCAATAGGCATAGAGGGAACATTCCTCAAAATAATAAAAGCCATATATGACAAAACCACAGCCAATGTCATCCTGAACCAAGAAAAGTTGAATGCATTCTCCCATTAGAATTGGAACAAGGCAAGGATGCCCACTTTCACCACTCTTATTCAACACAGAACTGGAAGTTCTAGCCAGAGCAACCAGTCAAGAAAAAGAAATAAAGCTTATCCAAATTGGAAAAGTGGAAATCTAACTGTTTTTGTATGCCAATAATAATATCCTATATATAGATAAACCTAAGAACTCCTCCAAAAGATTCCTAAGCTTGATAAATGAATTTGAGAAAGTTTCAGGCCACAAAATCAACACACACAAATCAGTAGCACTGCTGTACACCAGTAGTGACTGTTGGGAGCCAACATCTATAGCTACATGGCTGAGGCCTGTAAAGGCCCATCTGGAAGATCACCTCTGACATAGGATATCAGTTATACCTATAATATTGGCGTGTGATTAGTGACCAGTGTGCATACATGGCAGTAAAACTTATAAGTAAATCTCTATACACCTGATGGAAAGTTGCATAGCAGAATTATTTTTTATGACCTTGTCCCTTCTAAGTTTTACTTCTTTCTAGATATTTTTTAACTTCTATTTCCTGGTAGACTGGTTAGTTAGTTCTTGTTCCCAAAGGCAGTTTCTCCTAGGATTAAGATTAGAAACTAAATTACCATAATAGTTTTATTGCCCTGCCTCTAGTCAGGCAGGACGTTTTTCTAGTTTCGTTACATGCCGAAACTCCGTTTGCTTCAGCCCGATGTCATTGTCATGGTAACCGTGCAGCCCATTATCCAAGAGTGTGACAGCTACTATTTGATTTTTAGAATAGACTTGTTTGAATAAAACATACATTTAAGATGATACAATTTCCATCAAAAAGATTTAAACAGTAATAAGCATTCATAGAAAACTTTTAAGTTTTGTTTAAGCTTTTAAGTTTCCTTTTCTCAGGTTATGACTTTAGTTCCTATTCCTGTAGGCCAATTTTAAGATCTTTTGATTAGTATACCGAAATTTTCCCAACGGTGCTGTTTTTGCTTCTAATATGACAATAGGAAATTTTACACGTAGCCATGTATTAATGTACTAGGAAAAAAGATTTAAGTTTTGGGTTAAAGTCCAATCACTAGATCATATAAAAATTAAAGTTTAGGTTTATGAAACTCATATAAGTCATGGTAAGGAATAAGATTTGAATTAATTGCTATAGAATTACAGGGCACTATGTTGAGTCATAATAGGTTAATGGAATAAAATAAAAATTAAGTCATTTAAGTAAACTTATAGATTATAATGTTAAGTTGATAATATCAACCGTTAAAAAATATTAGGAGTCAGTGAACTTGGATTGAACCTAGAGTTAACTTAGAAAGTTTTTGTATTAATCAGGGTTTAGAACAAAGAGTATAATATGAATGATTTATTGAACACTATGGAAGACATTTTGAACAATTGAAATTGTGCACCTGTGACCTTGATGTGAGTTTTGTGAAGCAGGTCAGGCATCATGGAGTTCGAATTGTCTGCTTGGAACTTGCAAGTCTCGTGGTGGTCTTGTGATGCATAATTTGTAAACCGCAATATACATCATGGAATTTGTACGCCCCCAGTAAATAATTATCCCACTGCTGGAGGGTATAGAAAATGGTATATAAGTTGGAAAAGGTTTGAATAAAATTGGCTTCAGTCCTGATCAGACTGTTCCCAGAAGAACTGCCTCCGAGTGGTCTCTTCTCGCCGTCTCCTGATTCTCCGGTGCGGGTCCTAACCCTTCCCTCCAAGGTCGGAGCGGGACTCCGACAAGTGACCAAGCTGAGACTCAAATCAAGAACTCAGCTCCATTTACAATAGCAGATAAAATACCTAGAAATATACTGAACCAAGGAGGTAAACGATCTCTACAAGGAAAACCACAAAACCCTGATGAACAAAACTGCGGAGGACACAAACAAACGGAAAAACACCCCGTGCACATGGATTGGAAGAATCAGCATTGTTAAAATGGCCATATTACCCAAAGGAACCTACAGAAGCATCATAATCCCTATCAAACTATCAATGTCATTTTTCAAAGATTAGGAAAAAACAATCCTGTTCCAGAAGCAAAACCTCAATTTCTCAACCAACTCATCTTTGACAAAACCTCCACTATCAACCACTGGGGAGAAGACAACCTATCCAGTAAATGTTACTGGGAAAACTGGCTGAACACATGCAGAAGATTAAAACAAGACCCCTATCTATTACCATACACAAAAATCAACCCTAAATGGACCAAGGACCTAAATGTAAAACCTCAAACTATAAAAACCTTAGAAAATGCAGAAGATGCCCTGGCAACCAATTCCTGATCATAACCCCAAGTATCCATGCCATAAGAGATAAGATAGACAAGTGGGACCTCATCAAACTGACAGTCTTCTGCAAAGCCAAAGAAACCATCAAGAGAGCAGAGAGACAATCCACAGACTGGGAACAAATATTTGTCAACTGTGTATCTAACAAGGGCTTAGCATCTAGGATCTACAAGGAACTCAAACATGCTGAAAAGAAAAAAACAAACAACCCCATTACAAAGTGGGCAAAAGATATGAATAGACACTTCTCAAAAGAAGACATACGAGCACCCAACAGAAAAAATGTTCAGCCTCATTAGCCATCAAAAAATGCAAATTACACACACTGAGATACCACCTAACTCCAGTCAGGATGACCATCATCAATAACAAAAACAACAGATGCTGGAAAGGATGGGGCAAAAAGGGAACACTTTTACACTGTTGGTGGGAGTGTAAACTAGTACAACCTCCGTGGAAAACCATGTGGTGATTCCTAAAAGATCTAAAAATTGATTCTCCATATGACTCCCCCAAGCCACCTGCTGGGAATTTACTCAGAGGAACTCAAGTCACTCTATGAAAAAGATACCTGCACACACATGTTTATTGAAACATTATTCACAATAGCAAAAACATGGAACCAACCATGCTGCCCATTGAAAAAGGACGGGATAAAAAAAAATGTGGTACATGAACATGATGGAACATTACACAGCCATAAAGAAGGACAAAAATTATTAACTTTGCAGCAACTTGGATGACCTTAGAGTCTATAATGCTGAGTGATCTATCACAAAAACAAAAAATGAAATACCACATGTTCTCACTCATAAGTGGGTCTTGAACAATTAACATACTACTATAAGAAAGGGATTGTCGGTATTGGGAAACTGCCAGGGGAGGACAGGGGCAGGATTGGCAGTAGTAGAAAACTGCTAGGGGAGGGAGGACACACCTGTCAACAAGGGTACCTGCATAATGAACATCTGTATATCTAACCCTGAATTGTGCCCCACATCTTTAAAATTTAAAATTAAAAAAAAGAAAAAACAATCCTAAAATGCATATGGAACTAAAAAAGAGCCAAAATAGACAAACCAATCTTGAGCAAAAAGAACAAAGGTGGAGACATCACATTACCTGACTTCAAATTATACTACAAAATACTGGTACAAAAGCAGACATAGACCAATGGAACACAATAGAGAATATAGAAATAAACCCAAATACCTACAACCAACTGAGTTTTGACAAAGCAGACAAAAATATACACTGGGAAAATGACATCCTATTCAACAAGTGGTGCTGGGAATTGGATAGCTACATACAGAAAAATGAAAATTGATCGCCATCTCTCCTCATATCTCTCCTCATATACAAAAGTTAACACAAGATGAGTAAAAGACTTAAATGTCATACCTGAAACCATAAAAATCCTGGAAGAAAACCCAGGAAACACTCTTCTGGACATGGGCCTAGGCAAAGAATTTATAGTTAAAACCCCAAAAGCAAATGCAACTAAAACAAATATAAACTAAATGGGACTTAATTAAACTAAAATGCTTCTGCACAGCAAAAGAAATAATAAGCAGAGCAAATAGGTAACCTACAGAATGGGAGAAAATATTCACAAATCATATATCTAATAAAGAACTAATATTCAGACTCTACAAAGACCTCAAACAAATCATCAAGAAAAAAATCAAATAACTCCATTTAAAAAGTGGGTAAATGACATGAACAGACATCTCTCAAAAGAAGATATCCAAATGAGCAACAAACAGATGAAAAGATGCTCAATATCACTCATCATTAGGGAAATGTAAGTTAAAGCCACAGTGAGATACCACTTTATACCAGTCAGAATGGCCACTATTAAAAAATCAAAAACCAATAAATGCTGGCATGCTTGCAGAAAAAAAAGGGAACACTTATATACCATTGGTGAGAATGTATAGAAAGCAGAATGAAGATTTCTCAAACAACTAAAAGTAGATCTACCATTTGATCTAGCAATCCCAATAGAAGATATCCACCCAAAAGAACAGAGATTGTTATATGAAAAAGACACCTGCGCTTACATATTTATTGCAGCACAATTCACAATCACAAAGATGTGGAATCAAGCTAAATGTCCATCAACCAATAAGTGAATAATGAAAATGTGGCATGCATACACTATGGAATATGACTCAGCTATCAAAAAGAATGAAATAATGTATTTTACAGCAACTTGAATGGAATTGGAGAACATCATACTAAGTGAACTAACACAGGAACAGAAAACTAAACACCACATGTTCTCATTTATAAGCAGGAG